ACAAAAGACCAACAACAAGAAAGTGAAGAATGGTTAAAGGAATTAGAATGTCTCTATACAGCTAGACCATGAGATTAGACATAACAATGTGAACAAAAGTAGCAAATAATTTATTGTTTAATTCTAAGCATATGCACAATACAGATACATATGCATGTACTCATAGGCATGCATATGTGTACTGAGAAAACATTAGCATTACAATCTCCAGGTGATGAAGCCATGTTCAATTATGATTTTTCTTCCCTACATTCCCTACATTTTATAACATATCAAACATATTTATTTTTACTCATCTGATTTTTAAATATATTTTAAACCCTTATATCTGTATACCTCAAACTATCTAGAATCTCTCCCAAATTGAAGATTAGTAGAGATGTTAGCAAAGTAAACATTGCATATTTGTTTTAAACAAATGTATCCTTTATACCAAGTATCTTCCACACAGCATGTTATAAAGTCTTTTGAAAAATTAACAATTGAAACCAAATTGATAGGTATAAATGGTGTAAAGAAGGAGGATAAATCTGAGATACAAAAGACATTCAAAACTTTCTGATGAACTTGATACATGAATGTGACGAATGGTTAACATAATGTGTGAAGGAGAGCAGGAGATGTGTGAGAGAGCTGCCCTAATATATCATATGTACATATTCATATCTCAGTAGAAAATGCAAACGCTATCCCATCTGTTTTCACCATCTTTGCATCCTCTTCCATTCCTCAAACAGCTGGCTGTGCAGCAAAGCTCTTCCTTGGCAGTATCTTCACTGAAGGAGGAGGAGGATCCATTATTGTCTTGAAGGATCCATTATTGTCTTGTGGATGGACAGGAGATGGCTAATGAGGACAATCCAAGATGTCAGCCTTTACCACAGCTTCAAGAACACATTTCCTGGCATAGTGAATCATCCTGGGCTGTTAATTTGGTCTTTAATTTAGTATTCTCGCCTGGCATATTTTTTCTAGCTTTGGTTATAAAATTTTAAAGTGTCAGGAGACTTGCAACAAATCCCTCCCTCAGGTGAGATGAGAGTAGTCAAGTGACTTGTGCAGACTGATCTTAATGTAGTTATAACTTCTTATACACGATAGAGGCAGCATTAGAGAAAAAAATCATAGCATGTATTAAAGATGATGAGACAGATTTTATTCAAGGTGTGTGGTGAAACTACTGAGATAGGAGCAGGGAGCACTGCATGGGATTTTGTGGGGAAGAAGAGAGATTAGGTTCAGCTCTAAATATAGTCTGGGCAGGTCAAGCAAGGTAGAAATTAGAGTTTTTTTAAAAAAAAATCCTGAAAGGAAAGATCAATGATTACAAAGGATTTCTTTTGATATGTTTATTTACTTATTTCTATATCTGTGTGTACTTGAATGAATTCACATGCTTGCAGGTGCCCACAAAAGCCAGAGAGCATTTGGATGCCCTGGAGTCACAGGCAGTTATGATATACCTGATACAAGTGTCCTGGTCTTCTCCAAGTCCAATGGGCACTCTTAACAACTGAGTTGTCTTTCCAACACTCTTGGAGAAGATTTTCGCTAAACCAAACTAACAAGAATCTTGCTGAAAACAAGCTACCCTGAAAGACATCACCTAAGGGATGGCGGGAGGTGAAGAAACTCACTTAAGCAGAGAGTGATAAGGTACCAAGTTGGAGGTATGAGTTATGAATAAACTGACTTTGCAAAATTCTTACTGAAAGTGTACAAGGTAAAGATAAATACAAGAGCCCAAAAGTTAAGATTCATTGAAAAGTGGTTCAAGGAAGTCAGAATAGCATGTAGTCAATGGGAAAATATCAGTATTTAGATGTTACTTGGTTATCATTACTCTGAATGCCTTCATACTGGCTTTCAAATTATTTCATTTCATTCATATAAACACTGTGTTCTTTCTGAATAAATTCCAATGACCATTATCTTAAGGATCCCAGAGCATTTTTTAGGTAATTAATTCACTTGTTTTGGCATCAGTAGACAAGAAATATTATGGAAAATATGCTAAAACTTAAAGGTCATTACAGGAACCACAAAATCTGTGTATCTGGGTTTAAATACTCTTCTGATCATGTCATTAAGCCAATTCACCATCAAATTTAATACCTACAAAAGCCAAATCAGAGTGGAAACCTGGAAGTCCATGCTTTTGCTCCAGAAAGTGGCTTTGCATTTAGCCATGTCTGAAGATATTTTCAGTTGTTATAAGTGAGGGATGGGAATTGCTGATCTAGACCTAGAATTCAGCAGCCAGAGTTGCTCTTTTTTTCCTCTTCTTTTCTTTTTTCTTTCAAAAATGTGTAGCCCAGGCTAGTCTTGAACTCGGGATCCTCCTGCCTCCACCTCCTTCAGCAAAAGCTACCAGCATGCACCACCACAACCAGCACCAGAGATGCTCACAAATATCCTAGAATGCACAGGATAGAACCTCACAACAGACAGTTACTTATTCCAACAGTTCAACTACACAAAACAAAAACAAGACAACTCTACAGAAACCCTGTTTAATTATACTATATTATAGGAGAGAAACTTCCAGTAATCAACACAGCAGAACCTTAATCATTCTTTTTCCCAATACTGAGCTTTGAAGTCTAAACTTATCATATGTTGACTGGTGATAGTCCATGGAAAGTATTTAGAAAACTCTGGAATATTCAAATCCTAACTTAAATTGTAAAAGTAGTCTTTCACACATTAAACACCAGATTCATTCTCTTTTATTTCTTTTTATTCTGTGTATGCACGTGTGTGTGTGTGTGTGTGTGTGTGTGTGTGTGTGTGTGTGTGTGTGTGTGTGTATGCATATTATACAAGTGCATGGGGAGACCAGAAAACAATGTTCAATGTTGTTCCTCAGGGTCCAACTCCCCCTTTCCCCTTTTCCAGCACCTGTGTCATACTGTCCCCTCTCTAAATCTTCCTCTCCCTTCTCTTACCTCTCCACCTTCATAGTCCCTCTCTGCTTTTCTGGCTTCTGCAGTTACTTCAGGTTAAATATGCAAATTTAAAAACTCAGAGCTAGGATCTACAAATCAGAGAAAGCAGTTGGTGTATAATATATTCTAATTCTATTAATTCCCTAAGTTTCATTATTTCCTTTTTACAGCTGAGTAGTATTCCATCGTGGGTTTGTATCATCTTTTCATTATCCATGCATCAGTTGCAGGACACTTAGATTGTTTCTATTTCCTAGCTATTGTAAACAGAGCAGCAGTGAACATGGCTGAGCAAGTGTCTGTGGAGTAGGGTGTTCAGTCTTTTAATTATATGCCAAGGGGCACTATAGCTGCATCATACAGTAGATCTACTTTTGTCTTTTGAGAAACCCTTCATGGTGATTTCCAGAGTGCCAGTTTGCAATCACACCAACAGTGAATGAGGGTTCCCTTTTACCCATCATTCCTCCAGCATTTGCTGTCAGCTGTGTTGTTGATCTTAGTCATCTCAGAGTAGTTTTAGTTCGTATTTCTCTCATTGCTAAGGGTGTTTAACATCTTTTGAGATATTTCTTGGTGAATTTTGTTTCGTCCTTTGCAAACTCTTCATTCAGATACATACCACATTTTTTTATTTGGGTACTTGTTTTCCTGATTTCCTGAGTTTTTAGTTCATTATATATTCTGTGTGTTAATCCTCTATCAAATGTATAGCTGGAGAAGATTCTCTTCCATGCTGTGGCTTTCCCTCTACTCAGGTGATTGTTTCTTTTACTGAATAGCTTTTTAGCTCTATGATGTCCCGTTTGTCTATTGTTAGCCCCAGTTCCTGAGCAAACCAGTTCTTGTTCAGAAAGTCATTGCCTAAGCTTACATCTTTTACATGCTGCCTAAGTTTATTTCTTTCTTCAGTGCTTGATCCATTCGGAGTTGATTTATATACAAGATGATAGATATGGTTTTAATGACATTCTTCTATACATAGACATCTGATTTTCCAAGTACCATTTGTCGAAAATGCTGTCTTTTCTTCAATGTGCTTTTTTTCAATATCTTTGCCAAATATCAGATGGTTGTAATTATGTGCACTCGTGTTTGGGTCTTCTATTTTGTTCCACTGATCGGCACGTCTGTTTTTGTGGCAGTGCCATGATGTTTTTATTATTATAGTTCTATCATATAGCTCAAAATCTGGTGTGCTAGACCATCCAGCATTGTTCTTTTTGCTCAGGACTGATTTGACTTTTTGCTCAGGGTCTTTTGTGCTTCTATACAAATTTTAGTAATTTTTTTCTGTGTCTGTGAAGAATATCATAGGGATTTTAATTGGGATTGCATTGAATTTTTAAATTGCCAGCATTTCATTTTTACATGGTTTCTGGAGAGCAAGCTCAGTTCCTTTTGCTAGAAAAACAAGTACTTTACTGACAGAAGTATTTTCCCAGTCCTCTCATTTTCTATTATCTCATCAAAGACATTCTAAAAATCTGCCTCACAACACTGAAGGTGACAGCATCATGGAAGGAACATGATCTAGAAATCAGTGTGGGTGTTTATCTGTACGTCAGGGTCTGTGTAAGGAATGATCTTTTACGTGGTCATTTACTTATCCCTGCCTGACCTTGGTTATTTTTCCCAACACTGGACTTATCAGCTGTGAGGTTCAGTATATAAAGGATAGATGATGGTACATTCATGCTGTGATTTAATTCCTAAAAGGAATTTAAAAAATGCTATTATAAAAAAATACTAACTTACAGGAAATCAACAGTGAAGAATCTATTTTTAATTATGTTAATATCTAGAGTTTTATGCAATTAGCGAAAAGTCATATATGGAAGATTATATTTGCTCATTGGTTTGTTTCCCTGTCTTTAAGTGTAAAGCAATGAAATATCTGTTACAATAACACAATAATGAAATATGCTGGTTGAAAAAAAAGAAGTGAAAATTTTGCTTTTTCTTTTTTCTTTAAAATTACATAATTTAAATTAATCTTCATCTCCATAGATCTTCAAAAAGCAGTTACATGAGAGAAGTTTCAGCACTTACCTTATGAATCCCTCAACAAACCTGTCACCTTCAAAGATCTTGTTCTCCATTGGCTTCTTGTGTTGACACACCCTGTTGATATAGTGACAGGCTTGCAAGCGTACCACATAGTAGATGCTCCAAGAAGAAACTGCAAACTGAATGTAGATCTTAACAAAAGTCTCAGCTAAACATTTCTTGTGAAAGCTTCTCAATAAACACAAAATGATGTTTTTTCCCTCTCATTGATCAATTTAGTCCTCAGGGAGTTCCTGAATCTGAGGACCATAGAAAGTTGTAGAAGAAACAAATGAACTTTGATGGGAACCAGAGAGCTGTCAGATGAATGTATATACACTTGACCAATCTACCATTTGCTTTTTATGTCACAGGCTTTCTTTTGAATCTCTGCGTAGATCCATCCATTTCTTTCGCTTATAGTTGATGCAATTTTAGCAAGCTCTAAAAGCCTTGTGCTGACAGTCAATCAACCCTCAAAGTGCCTCGTCATTCTTGTCAAATCAGCTTTAATGTTTCTTGGCAGAAAATCCAATTGTTTCCATAATGGTGGACTTAAAGAAACCCTAAGTTAATACTCAGAAGGATTCTATACTCTCTAAAAGAAAGACGTGCAGATACACCATGTTCATTTGAGCATCAAACCTTTAGTCATTTAACAATATGAATTTTGCTGTCAGTCTGATGTACTAGACAGAGAAATAAAGTTGAGTAACAAAAATCTGGCTTAGGTCAGCAAGATGGCTCACAGAGGAAAGGTGCTTGCCACCCTATGATGAGCCTAAAGACCTTAATTCAAATACTGGAACCCACATAAATGTGGAAGAGGAGAATCAACTTCTCAAAGTTGTCATTCTGACTTCTACCTGGGTGTCGCAGCATACCTACTCCTATACACATCGTATACAACCACACAGTAATAATAAGTACTTTTTAAAAAAATCTGGCTTAGATTCAATCTGCACTACTTAATAGTAGTAGGTCCTTAGGCATATTACCTCATAGTCTCAGTCACCTTTCGTAGCTAAAATATCTAACTGAAAAAGATATTGTTGGCATTAAATAAAACTACACTGTGAAAGTACTTTGTAAATTGCAAGCCACAATACAAGTTATTTGTGTAATAATACTGCCTTTAATAATTCATTAGATGGACACAATAAGCAAATTAATTAAGAGTTAGAAATGGCACATATCACTGTGACCCTATGCATTAAAATCTTAAGAAAATGTCCTTACATGGTTTGCAAATAATCCATTTATGTAAACTGTGGAGATGAGCCAGTTCCTATTTCCCAAGAAGATCACTTTCCTCTGTCCCTGCATGTTAATTGAAGCAAGAAGATGATGTAATGAGCTTCTATTTTACATGCAGTTTAACGGGTGAGCATTTCTAATCTTACAGATACACAATAAGAAGAAACCTTTGCTAGTAGACATATCACTACTGGGGAAAGTAGTCCTTGGTATTCACTGGAAGGGCTCAGCTTCTTACTTTTTTCAAAATAATGTTAGATGTTACAAGCAGAGCTGAAATATGATTTGTTTACATTGACAGTACTTTTGGCCTCCAAATATGTTTACAAGGTTTCTATAGGACTTCATAGATTTCTGTTTATCCCATCATTTGCTCATGGTATTCTTCCCATAGGAAAATATATTTTAAGTACAGTGGTACCTTCTTAGCCCATATTTTTCTTTCTGTGGCTTATTGCTCATATCATCTCTGTTCCAAAAATATTAAGTAAGAACTTCCAGAATTAAGCCACCCATAAGTTTTCAACTGTCAGTCATTCTTAAAATTCATGATGAAATCTTTCAACATCCTTCCTCACCCTACCTGAGATGAGCATCCCATCGTCTGTGCCATCCACACAGAAGACTGGCTATCAGGTGAACTGCCATGCCATTACAGGGCTAGTATCCAGGCAGCCCTTACTTAATATTGGCCCCAAAGTACAAGTAATAGTGCTGGTGATTCATCTGTGTCAAAGATAAACTCTAAAGCACACATTGAAGTTAGAAGGTCAGAGCTCTCCACTTTAAAAAGAGAGCAACCCCCTTCCCAAGGGTGCTAGCATCTATATTACCAAATGTTCTGGCTGTGAAATAATGAAGACAGGAAGGGAAATCCATGATAGTTTTGTTATTATTCTCTGACAGCAAAAGTTACTTTCAGAGTGTGGTAAGAGATCAGTTGAGAGAGTATGTACAGAAAGAAAACACAGTAGAGGTGGTACCTATTTAAGGTCTTGTAGTATTTCCTGTGGATAAGTGGGGCTACTATACAAACACTGATTTAAATAAACACTTAGAATTTGACTCTGCTCAAAGTTAGGATCTGTGTATAACCTATCAAATATAAGGTATATTGTCAATTCTACCAGGGTTAGATAGACTGAGGATGGAATCAGGAAGTTGCTAATGCATTTGCTGTGGTAGACTGTTACCTCCAGATATTCCATTGAGAATCATCAGAAGAATAGCAGGCTGCTTTGGTACAATGGTCCTTGTTTGAGTCCTGTCTCATGAGATGCTTTCCAGCCAGGGGGTGATGTTCTTTTTTTCTCTTTCCTTCTCTGGAACAGTGACATCATGAGTTTGTTGTGGGAATCCTCAGGCTAGGTTTCAACTCTAGATCACAGGACACTTGCTTGTCTCGATGTGAGACTTGAGTTTGTATATCAACTGTGTCAATCTCTCAAGACTTCAGGTCTCACATCTGAACAGTAAATATGATACTCATCTAACAGTAAGACAGTGTTTGTAGAACACCCAGGAGGTAGGAGTAAGTCAGGGTGATCCCACCTGCCTGTCTTTCCCTCCACTTCTGATTTCTCTCAAGAGTTAAATTTGATGTAGGCATGCTGCTGATATATCTCACAACCACTGTGATTTAAGCTTAGGAAAACGGGGAAAGTAGAGACATTTCTAGAAGCACTGATTAAATTACTTGCATTTGAAAAGGGACATAATCACAAATAACAATATTCATTCAGGAATACAACAGAAGGCCTATGTGTGCCAAGCACTCTTCCAGACTTTGAGTTTCTAGTACTTAACAAGATGGACAATAGGACTTTTAGTCTCATGGTCTTCATTAAATGAAGAAATCAAAGTTGAGGAACAGTTTACATTTTCTCAGCATGTAGGAAAGATTTGTGTGTGTGTGTAATCATTTTGTAACTGAGGAAGAGTTTTCACAGTGGGTTATTTTTCACAGTGGGTTATTTCCCCAAACATTTTTTAAAATTATTTATTGTGTGTGTGTGTGTGTGTGTGTGTGTGTGTGTGTGTGTATTCACACATGAGTCTAATCACAACACAATGGTGGCAGACAAGGGACAGCTGTCAAGAGTCAGTTCTTTCCTTCACTATGTCAGTCCTGGGGATTGAACCTAGGTCATCAGGCTTGGTGGCGAGCAACTTTCCCCAATAAGCCATTTCATCAGCCACCTCCATCCCAACACATATACATAAAAAGCATATTTTTAAGGTTATCACAGAATTTCTATTCAAGAAAACTTTTATTAAATTAACAAGCTTTAAAACAGCATTTATTTTTGCTTTTAAATTACTACAGAGACATAACAATCCCAGAAAGACCTTAGAAAACATCACCAGATGTTGACTGAGAAACAGAGTGTAAGTTCCATGCATCATGTTAGCCCAATTTTTTCTACTTGGAAAAACAGACAGGTTGCCTACCTAGATAAGGAACAATTTCTCACAGCTGATGATTTTGCTATTGAAATATGAGATAAGAAGAAAGTGTTTTTCTTACCGGAGGAACAGAAATAGGTCTCACCCACTGGAATGATGCTGAGAAGACATGACAAGAGAGAAATGGAAAAAATAGTCACCAACTGGCCGCAAGAGTACTCTAAACATTCATTCCATGGAGCCTCCTGACAACTTCATCCCTCTGCCTTTGTGACGGGACCTGGAAGCTTGCCCTTCTTGCTCCATGGAATAAGTGAATTCTGTTGAAGCTGGGATGGCTAATGGTACTTCATTGAGTCTCTCCATACTTAGGCTGTATCTATATTTCTGCAGGGAATGGGGCCCTCCTTGTCTCGAATGATGAAGAATACCCTTGTTCCCATACCCACATGGCATTGTGCAGTGTTCACAGAGGCAATGTTAGCTTCATGCTCAGTACTGGAACGATGGTGAAATTTGGAAGCTAGAGGTGTACTTAGGATTTCTTAGTTGTTTGATCACATCAATGAAAGGATATGTAATCAATCTCCCCCTTAGACAGTGAGTGGTATTGGCCATAACTCATCACTCCGCCAAGGATTTGGCATTTCAATCGATGGGAAATGATGTGTGATCATTCTAATTTATTATACATCATTCCCATCAATCGACGGGCTGAAGCCTTTACATAATAAGTACTTACAGACATTGTCAATCATTCTTGGTTCAAATGCCTCCCAATGTTGCCATTTGGGATATTCTCAAAGCATCATGAAAATGGAATGTACCCCTCAAATCACAACTGCAATGATTTCATTCAGCAACAGACACTGAGATGACCTTTTATTGGAGGATTCCACTGGCAATTGTTTAAGGCTTGGGCCATGCTATAATCTAAAGAATATGAAATGGATGAGTATCTGGATTAGCCATGATTTCATATCCAGCCCACCCAAACAGATTCAAAGATGGTGGGTGGTATTGGCAGAATTCTTAGGGTTCACTTCTCTTTAAAAAAAAAAACAGTCAATATCCTCCACCTACTTCATTTTTTTTTAAAAAATGCTATTTCTTGGATGCTTTTTGAGATAGTGTCAAAGCATATTGATTTCCTGCCTTTTGTCACTGAGAATGACATCACAAGAGAAGATCAAATAGTATCAAGACAGGAGAGATCATGAATGGCTTATACTTTCAAATAAGATTCCCCAGCTGCTATTACTGCACTCACTGTACTGGATGGAGCTGTCTGCTTTGATTAGTTCTCTTTGTTTGAGATTTGACTCTCATAAAAATAAAATAAGAAAAGATGTGCTTGGGTACATGTACTTAAGCATTAGTGCCAAAAGTCATGATTCTAGCCATTACACAGTACATGATTTTCATTCCATGCCTTCTTCCAAAAATCTACCTGATGCTTCACTGTGCTTGGTAATTTGAATTAAAATGGCCCCCATAGACTCATAGGGAGGGGCACTATTAGGTGTGGCCTTTTGGAGTAGGTATGGCTTTGTTGGAGGAAGCATGTCAATTAGAGTGGGCTTTGAGGTTTTGGATGCTCAAGTCAGGTCTCTCTCTTCCTGCTACCTGCCAATCCAGATGCAGAACTCCTAGCTACCTCTCCAGTACCATGTCTGCCTGCATGCCAACATGCTTTCCACCATGATGATAATGGACTAAACCTCTGAACTGTAAGCCAGCCCCAATTCAATGTTTTCTTTTATAAGAGTTGTCATTGTTGTTATGTCTCTTCACAGCAATAAAAACCCTGACTAAGATACTTACCTCATCACATTCTATAGGTTATATTTCCAGTTTCTACTTATAGAGCAAAAACATGTGAATCTGTGCACATACAGGGCATACAATTCCTAGGAAGAGCTAAGGGACCATCTTTTGAAAGGAGAATGCTACACTTACCTTCCATCGTGACACACATGTCAACATCTTTGGGAAAACAAAAGGAAGTATGTGCCATTTTTTGCCTGGAAATGTGTCCCACCCAGCCTAGGATTGTCTTCTGTAAATTAATGTACAGTCAAACTGCAGAGGACTTTTCATACTTAAAAATATTTTTTAAAGGAAAAAAGAGAGAAATAAACTTTGTCTTTTTTCCCTGTCAGCAGCGTTTGTGCTAGTAGCTACTGCTTCTCCAGATTCTAGCTGAGGACATCTAAGGGCTTTGGAGAACATAGCCTAACACAGTGCTTTGCATGTGGGGTGTGGGGATGGTGGGAAAGTCAGTTCAGGAATTCTGCAACTCGAAAGAAAGTGTACTCCCATCTCAGAAGAGGACCAGTAGCCTCCAGGATTGGGAATAAAAGACAATGGATTCTAATAGACTCTTGCTCCATGGATTTCAAAGCATTCATTAGCTCATCAAGATTTACCTGAGCCAACAACTTCTAATTCTGGAAGGAAAAGCCTTCCTCACTCCCAGTACCAGTCTTTCCTCTTTGCTTCCTCATCAGCAATCAGTGGGTGTTGGCAGAACCAGGGCTTCCTGGGAAGCCAGCTGGCTCTGTTAGCTCTTCCTACACTCTAGGGCTTCTCGAGGCTAATGGAGTATCACAGTTCATTATCCACCTTCCTCCTCCAACCCCCATGAAGAAGCTCCAGTGAATACCAGGTTTGGGGCAGGAAGCATCATTCTTGCTGAAGCTGCCAAAAACAGATGCCAATATCCTGTGGAAGAGCTAAGGTTTATCAATATTGGTACAAAAATGTTCCCTGACCTTGAAGAAGGCTACAAGGGAGTCTGAGCATGAATAAGAATTAATGTCATCCACTAATTCCACCTTTTCTTAAATAAATAGATCAATAACAACTAACTACTCCAAGGCCTTGCTTTATGCTAAGCATTCTGTGTGTGTGTGTGTGTGTGTGTGTGTGTGTGTGTGTGTGTGTGTTAGCTTCCCTAGATCTTAAAAGCACGTGAAGACAATGGTGCTATAGTTGACTTTATGTTTCAGGTGAGGACCTGGTAACAACAGGGCCTTATCAAGGCAAAACAACTTGCCTAATGTCACAGAGCATGAGGAAGAGCTGACATCCCATCTGCAGTGTCACTGTGCAGACATCCTCACTCAAGGAACAGGACAGCCTTTAGGGAGGGACAGTTGCCTCCCTAAGCTCAAAGACAAAGAACAAGTCAAGGAGAGCTTTGTTGGGCAGGAACAGGAAAAGGGAAAGAAAAGGGAAAGTGGCCAGCATCAAAAATCATCCAGAAGACATTTCAGTGTCCAGGAGCACAGAGGCATAAATTGTAAAAATCATTATGATTATTAGGTCATATCTTTTCCTATAAATATTTCTAGAGAAGAAATGCTACAAATATTCAAACCCACACATTCAAAGAGAAGGATTACAAAACAAAAAAACTTTCTCTCTCTCTCTCTCTCTCTCTCTCTCTCTCTCTCTCTCTCTCTCTCTCTTTCTTTCTTTTTTCTTCAGAAATCTGAAGCAAGCCAATCATGGTCCATGTTAATCTAGGAAATGAAGCCATTTCAGAAGAGATGAAACAAAAAAGAGAAACAATACCTAGAATGAGTGTTGATGTGTCTTGTTTGAGTTTGATAAGATTGGAAAAACTTAGGTAATAAACTCCTAAAAATGGAGTTTGGTAATGAGCAAGCCTTTAACTACATAGACACATTGCCAGGTACCACTTTAATAAACTATTACAAATGATCGATGCAAAGGTACTCCCAACAGCTGTTTATGCAAGGTAACTGGAAGAATTCGTCCATAAAGGAGCTGTTAGTGGGGAAATTGGTTATGCACGATTGTGATGTCAAATCCATACATAACAAACTTCTTCCTGTCAATCAACAACCTTGCCATAAATTCATCCATTTATAACAAGCCTTTTTTTTAAAAAATTGACAGCTTCAATGTGGAGAATAAAAAGGACTCTCTTAAAAAAAAAAAGTGAACTCAGAATGGCTTTTTGCTACCTTTTAGACACAGACACGGCAAAGCCTTGTGACTTTTAACTTACATTGAGAGAGGTTGACAGCAGTTCCAAATGCCAACGTACCTCTCCAAAGCTGGCTGAATGCAGCAAAGATGGCCAGCCTCTCAGGTTTGGCTCACACGGCTGTGGAGGCAGTGCACATCACTGATAGATGAAGACAGGTGCTAGAGGGTTCACTTTGACGACCAGGGTACAGAGATCAAATCCAGGTGCAGTTATGTGAGTTCTCTCTTGCTGACTTGGGGCACTGTGGTATAAGGGCTCCACATAGGCAAGGAAGGCTTTGCAGTCTGGAGTATTACAGTAGGACTTCAGGCAGCCCCTTGGACCCTACTGCTGAGTTCCACGATCCTGGCCTTTTGATCTTGCTTTTCACCCCGAATGTTCCTCAAGCTCTATTGCTAGTTTTTGTTGTCATTGTCCAACAACTTCCAGTTACGAAGAGCACTATGTTTCACAGAATACAGGTAAGACATCAATAGTGTTCTCTGTGTAACAGATCTGACAGCAGTCTGGAGGCAAGAGGACCGTGTGTGTGTGTGTGTGTGTGTGTGTGTGTGTGTGTGTGTGTGTGTGTGTGTGCAGGTATGCCTGTATGGAGTGCACATGTGAAAACCTGGGGTAAACCTCAGGTATAATTCCTCAAGCATCAGCTACTTTGTGTTTTTTGAGACAGGATCTCTCCCTGGCCCTGGCCCTGGCCCTGGGGATCCACCCATCTCTGCCTCCCAGCACTGGACTCAGAAGCACACCCTTACACTGTACTTTGGCCATGGGTTCATTCCATAGGGAGTGAACTAAGAAGCTCACACTTGCATGGCTAACTTTACTGATTGAGCTATCTCCACAGTGCAAGAGTTACACTATTAAACACGGTCAGAGGTAGGATGTAGTCCCTTCAAGAATCCTAGGCCTGCATTCCTAACTGTGCTAAATTCTTATTTTCACATAGTAGAAGGGCCCCTCTGTCATCACTAGAGGCAAAGAGAGCTAGTTTACTTTCATTCCTAAATTTTACATCTTTTTTTTTTTCTGGCCAAATAGCACCTATTTCTCGAGCCAAGGTCCTTTCTGCAAGGTTCTTTTAGTACACAAAAGATCCCTGCCCTCTTTAATCTTCTTCTCACCTCTCTTCTTAATCAATCTGACCAAAGGGAAGATATGAATAAATTATCATAAGCAGGGTTGAAAGCCAAAAATGATTTCATATACCAAT